TATTAAGAGCATTCATGAGTCATGGGAAGAGGTCAAAATATCAACTTTAATGGGGGTTTGAAAGAAGTTGATTCCAACTCTCATAGATGACTTCGAGTGGTTCAAGACTTCAGTGGAGGTAGTCACTGCTGATGTGGGGGAAATAGCAAGAGAACTAGAAGTGGAAGTGTACCCTGAAGATATGAGTGACTTGCTGCAATCTCATAATCAAACTTGAATTGATGAGGAGTTGCTCCTTACGGACGAACAAAGAAAGTGGTTTCTACTCCTGGTGAAGATTCTGTGAACATTGTTGAAATGACAAACAATTTAGAACATTACATAAGGTTAGTTGATAAAGCAGTGGCAGGGTTTGAGAGGACTGACTCCAACCGTGAAAGAAGTTCTACTGTGGGTAAACTGCTATCAAACAGAATCACATGCTACAGAGAAATCTCTTGTGAAAGGAAGGGTTCATTGATGTGGCAAACTTCACTGTTGTGTTATTTTAAGAAATTGTCACAACCACCCCAATCTTCAGCAACAACCACCCTGATATATCACAGTCATCAGTACTGAGGCAAGGCCCTCCACCAGCAAAAGATGATGACTCACTGCAGGCTCAGATGATCGTTAGCTTTTTTTTTTAAATCAATAAGCTGTTTTTAATGAAGGTATGCACATTCCTTTTTAGACATATCATCCACTTAATAAAGTACAGTATAGTATAAACATAACTTCTGTATGCTGTGGGAAACCAAAACATTTTTGTGTGACTCACTTCATTGCAGTGACTGGAACTGAATCTGAAATATCTCGGAGGTATACCTGTATAATTTCCTCGGGTGTTGATCATGCTTCATTTTAAAAGGAGGGTATCTGAGAACCTGGCTATCTTGAAAATAAGTTGGGAACAAAACTAAAATGTTTTAATTAGTATTCCAAACCCTGCAAAGCTTAGCTAGCTTGCCAACGTTTGATTTCTGTAGACCTGTGCTGTTCAGTAGCCACTGGCCACATATGGCCAGTAAGGCATATGAAATGTGGCTAGTCTGAATTCAGATGTGCTATAAGTATAAAACACACATGGGCTTTTGAAGACACACAATGTAAAAAAGAACGTAAAATATCTCATTGATATGTTTTTCTTATTGATTATATGTTGAGATAATACTTTGCATTTAGTTATTTACATATTTTATTAAAGTTAACAATTAAATTAACAATTTCTATGGTTTTTAAAATGTGGCTGCATTTGTAGCTTGCATTGTATTTCTACTGGACAGCACTGGTATTATAGCCTTTATTAATAGACAGTGGGAGTATTTCTATCTGGAATTCAGTATTTCCTCCCCAATTCACAACATCAAGGATGTGATGGCCTTAATAGACTCTACTGTTGTATATATTGCCAGGGAAAATTATGAAGTACTTTGAAACAGATAAAAGAAAAGTGTCCTGTCTAATTAGATGGGTATAATTGGGGTTACCTCCACGTTTTATTGTTCTTGAGCTATTTTATAGTTTTGAAAGCTGTAGAAAACTGATAATGAGGAAAATAATTCTCATCTATAGAAGTCAAATTTATTATACCTGGTGGAATGTAATTGATCATTGCCTGCAGATAGATCCTTTTGCATCTTGTAAATTATTTCTGGCATTCCCTATTGCCCATATATATGTGGATTGTTGAATTCTTCTTTGATCTGATGATAACATCTCATTTATCTCTTATTAATTAATGAGCTAAATAAAATCGTGGAAACAAGGTCATTTTATCTTTTTATGAGAGTCACAATTTTACCTTTTTCAGATGAGATTGGGTGTGTTCAGAGTAGTATGGCTGTAGACAATATTACCTTTTCCAAACAACATTACAGAATGTAGGAATTTATGGTGGTCAAGATTAGCTGACTAACATGTTCTTCCTTCCTCCCTCCAACTGCTAGTCACTCCTCTGGGTTGTTCTGAGCTACGTCTGGCACCCTGAGATGGAATACAGAGTGCATTTTTCTATAGAAAGTATTTTATCTGGTGGTTGTTTGCTGCTTAAACATTATTCATATATAAGGCAAGCTAAACTGTGGGTTGTTTTGAATTTTGTGAGTCAACCAGAGAATCCTCCTATCCAGTGGAATATTTGATTCTAAGAAAAAAGTTCTTCATTCCAAATTATGAAAGAGAGACTTAGCATACTACTCATTTGTAAGGCACGCACCACGGATATTGCTCAGGCACCCAGTTGCATGAAGTCCCCAGAGTTTAACGGTAACAGGTGTTTAAAAGAAGGAGAGTTGTTCCTGCTTTTTGTTCTGGTGAGGTTATCTGTTTGTTTGTTTTGCTTCATAAACATTAAAAAAAAAGTCCCATTCTTATTTTACCTTGTTGTCTTTTTCCAATAAGGGCTGGCTTCCTTCAAAGCAAGGTAAGACGATATGAGCCAGTCACATCAGTATGTATGTAACAATCCCATTCATTACTGTAAATAGAATTATTTCAGCAAACAAGAGCAAATTAAAAATATAGAATTGGCAATTTCACATACTGTCCTTTTTTAAAAGTTTGGAAATATTGCACTTAGGATGTGTATGTTTGATTTCTTTTCCTCATTAAAAAAAAAGTTGGCTTTTTTAGCAGAAATATTATTACATTTTGTGAGTGTTGGCCTCCAGCATTTAAGTTTTTACAGAACATGAGGATGTTTATTGGTCTTTCATAAGCAGGGAAGTATGATTTTTATACCTCTGTAATTCTGAAAATGAAACATTCACTCTACTAATGCAGAAGAGTCCACTTATGAATTATATGTTTTATGAACTTTTTAAATATAAAGCAACCATCTTGGCAACTCCATTTAAAGTATACTTATACAGTATTCTCACAATATAATCTACCCATATATAATTATTTTCTTTCTTGTTTCTTTGAGAAGTAACTTGAGGCTTTATGGCATGAGTAAAGCCAAAGACTATACTTACCATAATTTACCTGGGGATACAATAAAGAAAACCAAAATACATGCCTTGTATAATTTTCAGTTGTTTGATGTTAATTTTTGAAGTTTAACTTGGCAATAGCTGCTTTTGATTTTTTATTCTAAGAAATGTTTTTTAAATTGTTAACAAAGAAGAATATGAATTTATGCAACTATTTATTTCAGAATAAAATAACATCTTTTTAATAAGTCAGTTTAATTAAATGAAAACCTTTGGTAAAATTTGAAGGATCTTTATGTGCTTTTGATGTATCTTATAAAAAAAAAGTATTGGTGGCTCTTAGTTCTCAATAAAACGAGGAAAAAACTGGCACATTAAGTCTTCTGTCATTATTCAAAAATAATAGAGTACTGTATTTAAAAAATAAAACTAAGTTTTTATTTGCATAGAAAATTTGTTTCTTATAAAAGAGCTTTACTCCTCACCCATTATCCACAAAAAGGAATTACTAAATTCTTTATCTCTTTCTTTTTTTTTTTTTTTTGGAGACGGAGTCTCACTGTGTCCCCCAGGCTGGAGTGCAGTGGCGCGACCTCGGCTCACTGCAAGCTTCACCTCCCGGGTTCACGCCATTCTCCTGCCTCAGCCTCCTGAGTAGCTGGGACTACAGGCGCCCACTACCGCGCCCGGCTAATTTTTTGTATTTTTAGTAGAGACGGGGTTTCACCGTGGTCTCGATCTCCTGACCTTGTGATCCGCCTGCCTCGGCCTCCCAAAGTGCTGGGATTACAGGCGTGAGCCACCGCGCCCGGCCTTTATCTCTTTCTTTAGCTAGGATTTCTTTAATTAGAATTTTCCTCTCACGTTGATTTTACTTGTTTCATTGCTAGGAAAGTGTTGGTTGCAGTGATGACTGATAGTTAAATAAATAGATATAGAGATGTAGATTCTTTCTGGAAAGCAAAGAATTGGGGAATTTTTTCCAGAAAATAGTTTTACTTTTTATTAACTTTATGATATTTAAAAAATTAATAAAAGGATGATGTCTTCGTCCTTGACTGACCATTAAGGGCTAAAAAGGTTTAGAAAAAAGATTACTATTTATTACATATGACTAGACTACTTATTGATACTATTGACCATATAAATCATATCACATACTATTTATGACATATGGCTTCATATAAAGGAGAGCTTCCATTGTTAACATGATCATTATTTATGTGAAAAATAGCTAAGAAAGGGGTACACTCAGGAGGCATGGAGTACTTCAGCTATTTTTAATAACTGAAGTAAATGGGGTTCAGGCAATTCATAAAATGCCTGAATTGGTAGGCAATGTTTTATATTTGCTTTCTGCTTGGAAGAGGAATCTTCATCAGTTTCAAAAGTATCCTTGCCCATCTCCCTTAGAAAAAGTTCAGAACTACTTAGGTAGCAGGATTGCTAAAGCTTGCTGCTTGTCTCTTTAACATGTAGATGAAAATGAACATTTTAAAGAACATCTTACTGTTTTGGCCATAGGATGGCCAGTGCAATCCAAAGACTATACTTCCCATAAAGACTTTTGGCAGTGTAAGCTGAAGAAGGCACAGTGCTTTAGCATCCATCTCAGGCCTCTTATCTCAAAATCTAAGGCCCCCTTTCTTTTGAACACCATGCTGTCTTGCCTCCTGGCCCCCAGTCTTTTCACCCTTTTCGCTCTGAATTAGCTAAAGAAAATTCATGGCATTTCTGGCTTCTAGAGGGATGCATAATTCCAACCCCATAGATAAAAATGCAGTAATGTGATCCATTTAAGAATGCAATCAATGTATGTTCATACAATGGGTCTGTGTTAGGAATATATTAAATGAATATTGTGCTGTCGATAAGGGGTTTTATTAATTTACAAACTGAGAACTCCAGTATTTCTATCAATAACATGAGTAAGAAAGTGATGAATCATTTACAATAAACCCTGATGGAGGCAATGTTATCAAAGTCTATATTTGCCATGCATAAAATTTATCCATGCTTGACTTTAATTTCTGTTCTTAAAAGCTTTCTCTATATCCTAAAATAAAGGCATGGTTTTATTTGCAGGTGAACAGAAATTGTAGGAAATTGCAAAGCAACCTCTGATAATGAACATCTTGCCAGGAAAATGTATCTGATCTCTGAGGAAAGGTGTTGGAAGAGATAGGAGACGGCAGGAGGATTGTCTCAAACACAAGTCTGAGTTCTTTTGACAACAATGTCTCCCTGTTTCTGAAATATAGAGAATTCTGCTCAAGAAGTGAGGAAGTTTTGGAGACATAATCAGAAAGAGAGAAATGCAGACAAAGAAGTTGTTGAAACTAGCTCACTTCTCTTCATGCTATTTTCAGAATTTTTCTTTACATCTTGCACTAAAAACAACCCTGCGCAAAAGACAAACCTTTTCCAGATGTTTTGGTGAATTCACTTTTATTCTCCATGGGCAATAATAACCAGTTTTTGTTTAAGGCCTTATGATTTAAAAAGCATGCACTTTTAATATTTACAATAATAACATTTTTAATGTTTACAAGAATCCCTTAAAATTGCTGTTATTTTTATTTACTATTATCATACTGACTTTTTCAAATAAGACAATTGAAATTCAGTCTCTTTTTAATCATCCAAGTAATAAGCAGTGGAAGAGGCACTTTAAAATACAAATTATTAAACTCTGAATTCTCTGCCTTTCTTCCTCCTTTTGCATGACAATAGGGTAAAATGAGACTAGCATGTTTTAATAAATAAATTTTTATTTGCTTTTTTGAGTAAGAGCTTGGAGAAATCTAATATGTCATTTTGTGTACTCTTAAAAATCCTTTGCTTGAAGAATCTAATGACTTTTACGTCTATGGATTTATATATTATTTGCACCATTTTGAAATATTTAGGAAAGGAGAGAATATAATTATTTGCCATGAAAATAAACTAACAGTATCAGGACAGGAGTCGATGCCAACCAAAGCATCCTATTGCCCCATACGCTGTTGCTGGCATTGATGAAATTTGAGGATTGGAAGAAGCGGAATCAGCCAGCCTCATGTAGATTTCAACTGGAATCTGGGCTGTTCCTCCAGGGTGCACCAGGAGCCTTCCTCCTCCCCTCACTTTCTTCCATTCCCCACTCAGCAGTTTCAGAGGTTGACAAGAATTCAGCTCAGTCAGGCAAATGTTGGTTTATAACACGAACACTGACCATTTCTATCTTACAATGAGAGAGGGGAAGCAAAGAGAGATTGCGAGACATCTACAGTAAATCAAAAGAGGATGTCGGGATCTTTCCATGATGCCAAGTGCTTGCTACTGATGGGTTTTTCTCCTGAAGTAACTTTTAGCTACATTTACAGATTTTCAGAGGAAAGAACCCCTGTAGCCATGTTTTCCCCCAAAGATCAGGCTCCCTTTCCACCTCAGAATGGCTTCTCACAAATACAGTAGTTTTTCAACAACAGATGGGTCTAAGTTGAAAGAGACCTTGTCATTGATCCAGTGGCATGAGGACTTCTTCAAATGTACATGTGGATCTGATGGTCACGGAGGGACCACACGACATTGATGCAGTTCCTCTTAAAGGGCCAGCTCTTCATCAGCCCTGATGTTCAGGCACCCATGTTTAAGATGCAGCCCTCCAGCAAGACCAGCATGAGTGCCACAGAGCTTTGTGGAGACTCGCCAACATAATAGGCCAGTATTTGGGAGAGGGTAGCAATTATGTGATTTCAATTTCATACCATCTGTCCCCAGATTTCCTTCACTACCAGGCTGGCCACTGGCTTTGGAGGACAGTCAAAATCCAGGGCTCTGGAATACTCTTTATGGAGTTCAAAGGAGCAGGCGTCCCTGTGAACTCCAACGCTGGTTGTTGCCATGGGGAAGTGTACCGAGATTGTTGGCTTCCAGCAAGATATGTACTTGAAAGTCCTAATGAAAGCATGTTAAGCCCTCGGAAGCTGGCTATGTGTCTGAGAGCCTGGCCAAGAGATGTCAGATCGCTCCACGGGCAAGAGAGAACATAAGCAACTGAGAAAAAGGGAGGAAGAGACATGCTGACGTTCTTCTCAACAGGAACATTCTTTCTTCTTGGGAGTCCATCAGCCTCATCATTTATTATCAGACTGTAACCACCCTTCATCCTCTTTCTCCAACAGGATCTCATCATTCCAATAAGAACCTAAATCATAAAGTAAAAACAAGAAAAATACGACTTTTTGTTTTTGGCTAGAAGGTCAGAGTGTCTTTTCTTTCTTTCTTTTTTTAATGCCGGCTTATTTTATACAGGCTCTTGAATGATTGTTTTCTTTTCTCCTAGGCAATCTGATTGATACAGTAAAGGTCTGGAAGCCCTAAAATGTTGGGTCAATTCCTAACTCCGACACAAAGAAGCTAAACAACTTGCAAGATAATACGTAAAAAAATCAACCACAATGTTTCTATCTGCAAAACAGAGTAGGGGTGCCACTGGGAAGCATTTTAAAAACCTTGTGTTCCTCATGCTAATTATTCACCAGTTGGCGTTCCAGGTCATGCCTCTTGACATCAGTAGCTTGATTGCCAATGGGATGATGATACTGGTTTCACTTTTAAATATGGGTTTCAAAAGTATCAGTTTTCACTGTCGTCAGAGAAACAGAATATTGGATGTGGGAAAAAAGCCTCAGGCAGAAATCTAGATGTCAGTCTCCCTCATTTCACAATGAGGAAGCTGAGGCCCAGAGTGGTGAGTGACCTGCCCAAGGCCACAGTCAGAGTTAGAGCTGTGCCAGGCCCAGGACACAGGGCTTTCCTTTTGATCAACATCACATTTCCTAAACCAGCTTGCTTCTTATATGCCTGCTTTCCATGATGATTTCTGGGGAAAGGATTTCTCATTACATGGATTTTTCATGGCTCTAGATGGGTGATTTGGGGCAACGTAGAAGGGCGCCTTTTGATCTAGCTGCTTCCGCATCAAGTACAACACTCCTTCCTCGATGGAAGAATGGTCGGCCTCTCCTATCAGTCGCTGAAGTCTTAGAAGACATGAAAATAAACAAAACCTGACAACTCTGTTCCCTGTGTTATGACCTGTTCACCTCCCCTGCCACTTCCAACTTGACTTCTCCCTGAGTAGCCCCCACGTTATTTAAGTCAGCAGGGCTTTCAGAAGTCAGGCAGTGCTGAGGCTGCCAGAAGGAATACTTGCGTGGCAGGCGCATGTGGGTCTGAGCTCTTTAGACTCTGGGTCATGACTGGCATAGAAGGGGTTCCTGCTGCTCTTCAAATCGCTTTTGGTCCTGAAACTTCCTTCCAATGGTTCCCTCCCTTATGTTTAACCACTTCATGCTCTGGAATCACCAAAGGTCTCACTCTGACAAATAATATTTTTTGAAGCACTCAGGAGTCTACTTTATTCTGGAATGTTCCAATAGGCAGCTTTAACAAAAATATGGGTAACTTCTTGAAAAAAGAGTAACCTCAACTTAAAGTTGACTGCAAATGACGATAGCAATCTGACCTTTGATTCATTAAAAAATACCCATATGTTCACAGAAGGTTGTTTCATAACAGCTGCAAAGTGGAAGTGACCCAAATGAATGTCTATCGGTGGATGCCTGGGTGAGCAAAATATGGTATATCTACACAATGGAATATTACTTGCAATGAAAAAAAGTATTGCTACATGATACGTGAACACATCTCAAAGTTATGCAAAGTGAAAAAGATCAGATCACATATTGTATGATTCCATGTATATAAAATGTCCAGAAAAAGCAAATCTATAAGAGACAGAAAAATTAGTGACTGCCATGGGCCAGAGGTGGGAAGAGGGAGTGACTGCAAATGGGCACGAGGTTTATTTCGGGGGTGATGGAATTGCTCTAAAATTAGATTGCAGTGATGGTTGCACAGCTCCGAGTATTTATGAAAAAAATCATGGAGTTTTGACTTCAAAAAAGTGAGTTTTATGGTATGTAAATAGTACCTCCATAAAGCTGTGCAAATGAATAACCATGCAGCAGATGCGCCAGCTCTAGCAGGAAGGAGATCTTTGGAGTAGAGGGATGTCTGCTGTGGTTGGGCCAACAGACGAACTCAGCCATACAGTTTCCCTCACCCTGACTGCTCCTCATGAAGGGCGACCTTCAAGTCCAGGCAGAAGCCCTTGACATGATGCAACGATTTATTAAATAGACAGGCTGCCCTTACGAGGTGAAGCCTGACAAAGCCTCAGTTCAGGGACATCTGCATTCAGAGTGAAAAACCGATGGCAGCCACAATGATTTAGATCTGCAATTAAGACATTTAAAGTGTTTAGGGCTGACAAGGAGTTAAAGTAAATGTTGATTCAGTTATGAAGTCTTCAAAGATTTAGGCTTGCAAAAGGGCCTTGCACAACTGTAGGATTTTATTTATTTATGCATTGTTATTGACTTTAAAATATTCTTTTTTCTCCCCCCACAGAACTTTTCCAACCAACAGTGGGCCCTTAGCAGGGGAGACTGGAAACAGGTTTGAATAATGCATTCAAGATAATTTTCAAAAAAATCACCATTTAACGAGTACCATATTCCCTCCAATTTTCCCTTACATATGATTCACCATTTTGAAAATACTGATGTATAAAGAATGCATTGAATGTGGCAAAAGTTGAAGATAGCCCCTGTGGATAAGACCTAATGGACACCATCCTGAAATAATACATACAGCTCAACCCCCAAACATATGTCTTTAATTTAAAATAATTCAGCAATCATGTTCAACCAGAACCTGATTACACAAAATGGGACTTTTTAACTCCCAGTCTTGGATCAAATTTTGAGGCTACAAAAAAACAGGGGGTGGCAAAGATAATATATACCATGTTTATATATTCCAGATATGGTGATTAAATGTTCCACACGCGGGCTGGGCGCGGTGGCTCACGCCTGTAAACCCAGCACTTTGGGAGGCTGCGGCAGGCAGATCACCTGAGGTCAGAAGTTTGAGACCAGACTGACCAACTTGGAAAAACCGCGTCTCTACTAAAAATACAAAATTAGCTGGGCGTGGTGGTGCATGCCTGTAATCCCAGCTACTCGGGAGGCTGAGGCAAGAGAATTGCTTGAACCCGGGAGGTGGAGGTTGCGGTGAGCCAAGGTCGTGCCATTGCACTCCAGCCTGGGCAACAAGAGTGAAACTCGGTTTTCCAAAAAAAAAAAAAAAAAGATTTCACAACACCAATTAACTGTTTTGTTTTTTTGGTTTTTTTTTTGAGCTTATCAAGGCACCTAGCCATTTCCTCCCTGTAAATATTTAACCTTCCTTTAAGAAACTGAAGTGAAAGTTCCTGACCTGGATGCAAAAGAAAAAATGCTGAACATAAATTGAGCCTCTGTCAGAATATTATGGCTTTCAAACCACTGAACTACAGTCTTATTGTCGACTTTCTCAGAGGCTCAGGAGGAAAGGGTGGCACAGGGGGCCCGGTACGCGGCCCAGAAGATGGTATCCACTGTGGTTCCTGAAGGGTTTGGCTTCTCTCTGGTCTTTAATTTTGTTGCTGGCTGCTGCCTTCTCTTCTCACCTATGATGATGTGGGTCCCCTTCCATATAGAAAGTAGAGCACCCTCCTGTATTGTGATTTCTGAGATGTGAAGAGGTCCCCCAATCCTTCTTCTTGATAGGATCCTCAATACTTGACGTGCCACCATTATTAAGTACTTATTTCTTCAAATCCTTGTGATCAGAAGTAGTGGATATAGTGTTTGGTGAATCCCAAGCAACGGTCTCTAGGGATAAGATTCCAGATAAAACACAAAACACCCAGTTCAATTTGAGTTTCAAATACACTACAAGCATTGGCTCCTCATGAAGGGCGACCTTCAAGTCCAGGCAGAAGCCCTTGACATGATGCAACGATTTATTAAATAGACAGGCTGCTATTATTTATTAAATAAATCAGACTGCTATAGATAAATCATATTCAGATCATCACTAGAAGAAAAATCACGAGTCAGTTAATTTTACTCAACAAATGTTATAAAAGCTGGCCCCCCAAGATGGGATACTCTACAAATTAGGCACCATAAACCTGGATATACTAGAAATAAAGCTTCATGTTTGTGTGCTTTGTTTTGAAATAAATGGACATATTTAGAATGGATGGTTTTCTTTTCATGTTGATAATGTTTCTGCTTTTCTTTTGTTCCTTTTGTTTACAGATCCTTTATGCACTGAAAGAAGAAAGTAGAACCATTTCTGGGTCCCAGATGTGGGAAGAGCTCCTGTTGCTGTGGATTCTGACTTCTGGGTCTTGGAGCAGGAGGTGGCCAGCAAGCTAAGCTGTCCTGAGGGTGTGCCAGGCCAGGGGCTGAAGACAACGTTGGAGCATCCACAGACTGGTTTGTCTCAAGAAGCATGTTACTAAATATGAAATGGCAAAATCTGCAAGTGAGTTTACTTTTCCCCCATAGATTAGAATGGATTCAATATTATCTCTTTATTAGATTCACTTTTAATCACTTGCATAGCAAGTAAGACAGAAGGGTGGTTTGAAAGTCAATCATGTGAGAATTCCAGATAAATTGACTTTGCTCACAACAATCTATTATTCATGTGACTATCAACTGTCATGTGTGCTGGGACAAAAAAGAAGATTAAGGTTCACTGGTCTCAGACAGTTCCAGGAGAGGAAACCCAGGATTGAACTTTTTCAGCCTTCTTTGGTAAAACATGCTGCTCTGTGGGTGTGTCAAAGCTTTTTTCAGTTTCCTAAACTCCTGTATTCAAGAAGAGAAGCTATTTTCTCTTCTTTATCATCCTTCCTTGACAAAGCAAAACGTATTTTCATTGTCTGCTCTGTATCATCCAGGCTTGGTTCCTGTCCTCAAAGAGCTTATAGTTCAAACAAAGGAGAGGGAGCATTTTACAAGGGAATTAAAGATGAAAGACTCTGAAAGCCAGTTTAAAAAGTCGAGAGGGAGGGGTCTGGGAGAAGCTGAGCAGGGATGAAAGGGTACAAAACATTATAGAAGGAGAACAGGGGAACACCTTGACTACTGGGTAGAAATACCAATCAGTGTGTAGAAACCATCACAGTGGTAACACGGATCAGTAGGTGGAAACCAATGACAGCAGGTGTGTGAGGCATGGAACACTTGGCTTATTGTAAAGTTTTCAAAATATGTGGTCCTTTCTATCCACCAGGGGATGGGAGTTGTCTTTGTATATCAACCACAGAAGGGCTGTTTCGGTTCATCATTCTGTGGTCTACCTGGGTAGACCTGATGCAGCCGTGTTTCCGGGGAAAGGAAGAACAGCTTTTGTTTTGTGATATTTAATGGTAGATGTTGTGCCATGGAATGATGCAGATTTCGTTCAGATATTCTTGGATCTTGGCCTCAGGACTCACTCATTCTTCCTTATATGAGCATTGGTAGTTATAGGTTTTACCCTTCCTTTAATTTTAAGTCCTTTGAAGGCAAAAACTGTATCCAATTTGTCACTGTCTCCCAACAGTACTTAACAGTGTCTGATGCATCATAGGGAGTTTATAAACGTTTGGATGAATAAAGGGAAAACAAAAACAACAAAAATAACCTTTATTTTGCTTTAATAAAAATATTTTAACTAGTTTCCACTGGCATGTGGTAGATATGTTCTAAGAAACAGTCTCCTCAAATTATGGCTTCAATAATGGATGAAAAATCAATTTCCTAATGAATTATTTTGTAGAAAGCACCACACACACACACACACACACACACACACACACAACTTCAATAAAAAAGTCATTTGAGATTTTAAGAACTATAGGATAATAATAGGTAATCCATGTGAAGTTATGACAGCTTGTAAAGCCAGGGAGGGCATGAGGAAATGAAATACACAGATCATCTTCAAACCACAGAAGCTCAGACTTCTCTTGCTCTAAAAGTTGACGATCAGTGAAAAGCCCACTGATAGCTGAGTTTTACCTCCTCTTATTCTGTATAATCCCTTTTTTGGTGAAAGCAGAGATGTCATGGACAATGTAGTATTTTATCAAATCTGAGAGGCCATTGATTGTAAGACAGCATTGCTTTAGGTATCACTAAGAAAGAAAAAAAGCCTTGCCAAGTAAACTCCCCAAATTCAGAGACATTCAAATGTTGAAAAATAACTGTTTCAGAATCTGTGAAATACAGACTGTTCTCCCTAATGCTTGGCCCATGGCTTTGCATACCACAGGTGGTCAATAAGCATTTGTTGAAAGAGTGAGTGAATAATGTTGACAAGCAGAAATGCCTGGTTTATCATGTCTAGAGCCCATCACTGAGAACAGTGGGCTAGATCCCTTCTTGATGTTTTAAGTAATCGCTGAGTGGATGGGTGGGCGATTGCTCTTCTGATTACTAAGAACAAAACAAAACAAAACACAAAACGAATCAAAAACAAAGTTGCAGAGCTGCATCCTGTTGATGTACCCCCAGAGGAGTCAGGCCTGGAGTATTGCTCAGTAAGAAATAGTGACTTTTGCATCCTCACCGTCCTAGTCACACAGGGGTTTTTCTCTGAATAATCAAAGAAGGGATTATTTTCTGTAAGAATGGACAGATGAGTGTGTGAGTTTGTGTAGGGTAAAGGAAGGCAGGTAGATAGAAATACATCGAAGAGTAAAAACTTCCTTTAAAAAAAGCTTGCTGGGTTTAACACATGCATCATTCACACATCGGAAAACAGTATACACTTGTGACTCTGTACCCACAGAACTCAGAATTGCAGCTTGCAACTCTATATCTCCTCACAGTGATAAATATGGGCAATATTAATGTCATCTTCTAAGCCCCCAAAAATATAGCTGACTCTGTTCAACAGAGCTGGTCAGACTACTATAGATAAATCATATTCAGATCAGAACTCCATGTACACATAATCTTCGGGGCATTTCCAAAGTCTAGGGGCATGCAGTGACAGATCTGGGTTATTAATATCACTTCGTAGCCTGTTCTACTTGAGGTTTTGTTTTCCTACCAGTAATAAGGATGGCTTCTCTGACATTGACCTCTTTATAAATTGGCTTCTAGTTCGTCTTTTCAGAGGTGCCACCAGAGAACCAAGAAGCAATTTCAATTAAGAGTACAATGATAATTTTGGAATATACCTTTTTTAGTTGTTCTAAACTAAAAAATATTATTTTTTAGTTTTTACTCATTTTCAATAATGGTTGTGCAAGACCCTCTTAAGATCATTTCCATTTTCAGGAGGCTACTGCGAGAGTCTCACTGGGCTTATCTGACTGCATTAACAAAAGGGCAGAGCTTAAGAATTTGATCATTGCTAGGCTCTTCAACAGGAGGATCTGTACCTGATTCCAGTGGGTATTTCTCTGGGACTTGGCACAGGTTTTGAACCTAGTATCTGCTTAACTGAATTGTATTAAGTAAATGAATAATGAATGAATGATGCTAAGAAGCACAAGCCTCTTGGTACCACTGTAGCAATTAAAGACTTTTAGAGTATATAAGCTTTTCTTCCTAAAATGCATTCTGAGGAGAGTAGATAGGTATTGATGCAAGAAAACGAACTCAAGTCCAAAAAAATTGTTGAGCATTAGTGGATTCAGCAAGGATTTTTCATCTCTTTTTCTTAGATTCCCCTGAAAGAATTTTGAAACTATAGACCCTGTCACTACTTTTAAGGTAGCATCTACATTTTTAAAATCACAAGTTGTAACAGTTACAAAGGACGCAATTTCTGGCTTGCTTGACAGTTATGAAGGACACAATTTATGGCACATTTCTACTGTTATATCATTCTTTTATTTTTTATTTTTTAATGTTTTGAGATGGAGTCTTGCTCTGTCACCCAGGCTGAAGTGCAGTGGTGAAATCTCAGCTCACCGCAACTTCCACCTCCTGGATTCAAGCAATTCTCCCACCTCAGCCTCCTGAGTAGCTGTGATTGCAGGCATGCACCACCAACCCAGATAATTTTTTTTTCACCATATTGGCCAGGCTGGTCTCGAACTCCTGGCCTCAAGTGATCCACTCGCCTCGGCTTCCCAAAGTGCTGGGATTACAGGGGTGAGCCATCACCCCTGGTCTATATTACTTTTTTAAATGTATCCACAGAATCTAAGTATCATAACAATTTGATGCCTAGCTCACTATTTTAAAAAAATATAGAAACAAGCTCTTGAAATTTTACATTTCTTTATCTTTATAAATGCATTCTTTATATTCTACTTCCCCCATATGGTTTTATCTTAATGAAATGTATTTTCATGCTTAAAAGACTTTTCTTGAACACTTTGCTTTACTTCTCTGCAACAAAAATATGTATCAAATTTGAAATTAATAGTTTTATTCATTGTGCCCATAGTGTTTTATATTAAAAATTCTACCATTGATATTTAACAAATAATAATATAAACGTTAATAAAATTATTAAACATGAAAAGTAAAACTACTGAATATTTACCTCTTAATGAGATGGAAGAGGCTATTTGTTAGAAATTGGAATTCAAACAAGATTCATACATGGCAATTGGTTGGTATGTCTCTTAAGTCTCCTAGCCTTTCTTAGTCTTTAAATATCTCCCCTATAGCTTTCTTCTCAATTTATTAAAAACATCAGGGCCTTTATTCCTGTATTTAGCAGCAAATTATTAGTTAAACCTAGAAGCATGATCAGACTCAGGTTCAACTTTCGGGTAAAATACTTATTTTAGTCATTAATGCTTCCTTTGCATACCTTTCTTAACCTTTCAAATTTAAGTCTGTATCTGCCTTTTAATCCAAGCTCCACACTCCCTTTCCCAATAATCTCTGGCACTGGAAAACTGAGGCAACACAGTAAGGCCAAGGCTATCAAACACTCAGATTATCCCAGATTGAAAGTTTGGTCATCCCATCAGATAAAAGCCTACCTGACTGAGTTGCTGGCAGTGGGTAGAGACAACATAGAAAGGATGGGGAGAAGGCAGCTATGATGACCAAGTTGGGCTTCCTAACCAGTTACAGAAGTGGGAACTGAAGTAGGGTCCTCAACTCTACTTCTCTTTGTGTATTTCCCAAAGTCTGAGAAAAGTACAGATGCAGAGAGGACCTTCAGTAGTATCAGAAGTAGTGTCCATTGCCATCCCAGGTCTCATAGAAGGGCAATACTGTTTGCAAGATGGAGGGAGGCATATAAAACATACCTAGGGTATAGCCATGGGCTTGTCTACTTCAGCCTCCTCTGCAGCTGGAGTTACCAGCATGTCTGTTGTCCTAAATGCACACGTCTCCCAAAACAAGCATGAAGTCTCTCAGACAGGACTACCCAAACTCTTTAGGAAGAGCAGAAACATTTCCTGTGCTCTAATTGGATAGACATGCCTATCTCCACGAATTCCATGTCCTGCTGCTTTGTTCTTTTCTCCATATTCCTCTCTCCACATATTCTTTCTCCTCTTTGGGATTTTGATGGACATTCTCTTAGTTTTCAAGAGTAAAAACTGAAGATTACTATTTGAATAAGGCTTGGTTATGTTCTTAGCGCAGGGTCCTTGATCTCGTTTCCTTTTCTGGGAGAGAAGGAAAAGGGCTTGTTCTTCCCTATAAAGCTTGGAAATCCATTCTCCAAATTGCACAAGAGATCGTATCAATGTGTAGCTAGCTATACCAACTAAATATATGTTTCAAGTATTTGGAGAAAGTGTTTTGTGACAAGAGGGAGGTAAAAAATAAAAAGTGGGAAGACAGAAAGGGTCATAAAGTGAGGGAGAAATAAAAGGAAACAGAAGTTTGTGGCATAACCAGCAGATGATTACTATTCCTTAGCTCCACTTCCCTACTGATATTGAAATGATCGCTTATTTTCGACCTAATGGGAAAGACTATTTTCTGGGGCATCACCAGACTGCTGCTCTGGATTTTCCAGCAACCTGTTTAGGTTAAGGGCAGACACTCAGAAGAGCCAGCTGAGGGTTCTAATTTAAAGTACTCAACATTAGCTTTCCAATGCTGTTTGCAATTATTCAGCCTACTTGACCTCACTGCCTGAAATTTCATGATAGGAAATTACTCTTTGGAGTAATAAGAGTAACATTTCATGCTTATTTCATGATAAGAAATCACCGTATGGAGTAATATGCTTCCTGTTTAATAATGCAAGCACGCTGAGAAAAGTATTGAGTTAAAGTCTCATAGCTCTCCATGCCTTTCCTCCTATTAGAAGGTGAGGACAGGTACCAGAGGAGTGGAGAGGTGGAGAGTTTAGAGAGGGACAATTTGGGGTATGGGCCACTTCCAGAGAGGCAGTGTCAGGATTGGGCCCATCGTGGGTTGTGTCAGAGCATGAGAGCCCTTGCTGGAGTAATTTTATGAGCTAATGAAATAAAATCAATAAACCGAGAATCTGGTAAAGTGTCAAAAAATTGAGGAGATTGACGTATAATACCCCAATATTTTTCTAGTATAACAAACACTGTTATTTCATAAAAGAGGGGACATTTCTTGCCCCTTTTTCTTGCCCTTGGTGATGTTAAAAAGTAAAAAAGTGAGTCTCAATTGCTTAAACCTGGGAGGTGGAGGTTACAGCGAGCTGAGATTGTGCCACTGCACTCTAGCCTGGGTGACAGAGTGAGACTCCATCTAAAAAAAAAAAAAAGA